CACCGTATTTACATTGCGAGTGCCTGAGCATAATTCGGCTTTTCCATAGAAATTCGAAATATAATACTGCGTTATAAACATCGGTTGATGGGAATATCTCTAGCATAAGCTTGGTTGGCCTCTCCCCAAAACATATTCCCAACCAATCCCAATGGCGGATTCAAACATGGGTAAGATTTGACTGTGTAGCCTCACCTGATGGACACAATACTGTTGACCTACTTAATTATTTTGAATTGGTGTGATTACGCTGGCATGGTGTTGTTGTGCTTTGCGGTGTGTGTTCTGTTGGCAGCCCTGCTTCTTTGTTGCCGCGTCTGCCTTTTTTGGCCCATTGCCTGTGGTCCTTCTTCACTTTCGGCCTGTCATCTCCTTCTAACTTTCACGTTGGATGTTTCAGGGTTCGGGTTTAGGGCTGTGGTTAAGGGTTAGGGTTAAAGGGCTGGGTTGGGGTCAGGGCTAGGGTTAGGGCTGGGGGTTGGGGGTTATGGAAGCTATCTCTCAACCGCTCAAAGTACAACCGCGCATTCCCAATAGATTTTCTTTTTGCATACATCTACTTGACCTCGTCGCCTGTGCATTCCCCAGCCCCACCTGTAAAAACCCTTATTACCACCGGTCCCGTATTACAGGTGACTGGGGTTTGTTTACCTCATGTGCGGCTCCATAACCACATCTGACCCATGCCTTCGACGTGGCGAATGGGGAAACTATAAATACGGCTGATGATTAGCCTCCGGAGCTCCCCGATCGTGGCCACCTTCTCACCTACCAGAAGGTCGCAGCGTGCCGCATCTGGATCTCCGCCCTCCTTGTGTAATCCGTCTACTATCAACCCCGCGTCCCGTTTATTTTTGCGCTTGTGTTCCAATTTGGTTTTAGTTTGAACGTAGGTTACTCACTAGATCAGTACTCAGTAGCTGTTTTCCAAATTCTTCCACCGTATTCCATTCAGTCGCTTGGGTTCGCCACATCGGACCGTAATTAATAAACCATAGAATACACCGGAAACACAACCTTGCATAATGGTAGCACACATACAAATCCCCGTTATATTTTTTTTATTACTGTTCCAACTTCAAGGAGATAATACGGCCGAGGTTTGCTTCATGAATTGACGTCTGTGTAGATCTGAAATGATTATCATTTGTTGTTAATCACGAACACGAAAACTGAGAGTGTGCAGGCTCTGATATGCTCATAATAGGCTCCGCTTGAGTAAAAATCAGTCCAATGATAAGATTGTGAGAGAGCGGGCTAGATCATCAGATCAACGTTATTGACTGCTAAATGTTTGCCATAATGGGAGCCACTGCTAAGTTTCGATGATCAAAAGGCACGGAAAATCACTTTGTTATTTGTACAACGGCCTGTACTAGGGGTTTGTCTGCCCTACCCTTTTGGAGGCCTGACTTTAGGATAGCTTGCTTCGCCCAGGATAAGTGCCCGATTCCATTTAGGCGTGGGAGAAGAACAGCGGAAGGTGTTTATTCTGCACAGCTGCCTGATGGCGAGCTGAGCTCTCGGCGCGTAACCGAGTCTATGCTTGTGCACGCACCTCTCCTCTTGGGTGGTGTGGGCGCGGATGATCATTTGTATGAGAACCAAACGGCATCAGGCATGGCTTCTGACTTTGTGAACGCCTACGGTCGGTTGCCCTCGGATTTGAATGTATGCGCCTCCATCCCCCCGAAAGCCGTGATCACGTGATTCTCACCATGACATGGGTGCCAGGGCAGAAGACGCATGTGTGCTTGAGGTGCTTACAACATCCAAGTGCAAACGACAAACAGGCCAGAAACGGTCATAACAATTCCGATAGGCTTTATTTATAACATTATTCAATTAGTTTTGGTTTCAAATTACAAGTTTTGCACCGTAGTTTCTCAGTAAAAAACGTTAGTATAACCGCGACTCCACGAACGCCGTTAAGTGTCTTTTTTACGTTCTGAATATTTTGTGCAAGCTGTGGTCGGTGTGCATGGTTATAACACTCCTCTGTCTGAAAACAGAACACGGTCATCCTTAGAAAGCACATCCTCGGCTAAAAGCGACTTCTGTCTGGCATAAAATTCAATGTAGGTGGAGCCAAATAGACAACGTCTCTGTAGAATGCAAATTAAACACTCAATTAGCAAACGCTGGCTCCACTCCAAGTGGCACCGGAACGATCCGTTGCAAATGTTAACTCTTGAGGAGGTAGAGTTCAACTCACTTGTCCGTAATTCCAAGCCTGCGGGATAGGGTGAAAAGAGGTTCTCGTGCACAAATAATTTACAGGCACCTGGGACATGCGAGTCAATTCTCAGAGTGTGTGCATATTTCCTCATTCATCGAGTCCACGCAAGGGTGGCGTTTTTTGGCAGGGCGCACCAAATTTAAGTGCTGGCTTTGTTGGATTGTGTGCATCTGAGCCGCAACCTCAGGCAAATCTGTCACTGATACCTGGAGTTACGAGTGCGTAGTATTTGAGCTGTGTCGGTCCGACTGGCACTCTTACAGGCATTCGCTCATCTACATCACTAATGATCAACTTTCGGTAGGCGACCTAATACCGAAAAGTACACTTATTTCCTCACCGTTTTAGAACAGGGAACACACTGAAAATTTTCACGAATAACTAGTTCTGGTTGATCCTTCAATTACATTCACAGTGGAAGATGACTGCTACGGGCTGCGGGCCAGCTTCCAGCGTGAATCTTCGGTAACAACGGCCGAATTGTCGGTTGCAGTTGTAACTGAGTATTTGTAGCATGTTGGTCGGTTTCTCATGGATTGCCGTCGCCAGCAAGTCTTCCAGTAAATTATCGCGACCAGGTGTACAAGCTTATCTATAGTTCTTTCTTCCGGAGCGGCAAGGATTGCCTACTTACGATGGTGTGTCTCATTACAAGTTTTAGGTTATTGGCAAAAGTATGCTCAATGAAGTCCACCCTAACTGTCCTACAATGTCATATCTTAGCAGACCATATTTTTTATTTCTTGTGAAAGCATGGACGGTGCTATCTGACCAACATTACACGCGCGGCAGACATCTCGTTTTGTCCACTTGGCAAAAAGAGAGCTCGGAATAGCCAATATCAAGGAGAATTTTCTGTCAGAAGTGGTGCTCAGTAGGTTGAAATAAGTGTGCCACAAAGATGCAATGAGTTCAGTGACTTTTATAAGTGGCGTCGACAAAATTTCACACATTGTAATTACTTTGACAGATAACAGTTTTGGTGCCAGCTTTTCGCGAGATTGTTGTAATCAGGGGCTTGGAGCGGCGTCCAGAGCAATACACATTGCGGTGTAGAGGTATCCATTTAGGGTCACCCGTGTAACACGCGCATGTTGATGTTTGTCACAGTCCATTGCCGGCACCAGACCCTCAACTGTGGTTCCCCGACGTTAGGCTCTGTCTAGCGGCCACACCTACATAACCGCATCAACCGGTGCGCCAAACCAGACGAGGGCATTCCGCGTTGTGTGCCCCCACATCCGGTAATTCTGTACCCAGGCCCATCCGTTCCCTCTGTCTCCTCACTCCCCTTCTTCTCCCCTCCACTCTCCGTCCCCGGCCCTCCCTTCTACTTCAAAGATTCCTACGGGAAGGGCAACACACAGTCCCGTAGGCGGCTCAGGCCAACTCGACTAGTTCTGCACTGAGCAAAGCCACGACCCATAGTGAAGTTCGGCAACCGTCTGGGATGCCTCAGTAGCCTTATTTAAAGATAGCACGGCTGATCTCCTCGCGGGGAAAGTGATAGGAAATTTGCCCTAAACAAATGGTGGGAAATTACACCCTCTGCAAGTACACCGTGGCTAGCAGATGCGTAACTCGCTTCGGAAAAACCAAACGAACAACAACAAAAACAACAGTGTTCCTCTCCCTTCACTCCCACCCCACCTCATGAGCCTTTGCCTGCCTCTTCGCAGAGCCAAATTTGCCACTATCGTCAGCGGCTGCGCCCCCTCCCCCAAATGACCAGCTGCGACGAGACGAGGAACGAACTCTACGATGACTTACACGCCCTCCTGGCGACTGTGCCGAAGGCGGACAAGCTGGCTGCACTTGGTGACTCCAACTTCGGCGTTGGGACAGACTACGCTTCCTGAAGAGGAGTGCTGGGTCGCTACGGAATCTTCGGTTGCAACGACAACAGCCTTCTTCTCCTGCGAACCTGCGCAGAACACCGCCCCCGCCTGACCAGCAGCCTCCTCCGCCTCCCGCGGCGGACGAAGGCAACCTAGATGCATCCACGACCGCGACGCTAACAGCTGCTGAACTGCATTCGGCGAGGGTATGATTTGTATCCCGGGTCAGCAAAAGGTAACCCAAGGTGCCCGTCTAACGGGAGGGATGGTAATAGGGGTTATACGGGTGGGGCCTTCGGAATCCCCTAAAAGTATTTCGGGAAAGTTAAAAGGGGGAAAAGAATAAAATCGCATCGAGAACCTCTGACTGTCTTAGAATGTAAACGGAAAGTAAACGCACAAATTCGAAAAAGCATCAGAAATCGGTAGTCAGAGAATTTCGGGCAACTGAATGAACCGCCACTGCCTAACTGGCCGAAGGTCATGCTCCAAGGGCATGCGCAGACAATGGTAATTGGCTGCAGGCGTTAGTCGGTGGTGCAAATAACGCAGATTGTAACGGACATCAGGAAGCGCATTAATTTACAACAGCGACTGGGTGAGATGCAGGACGCCTGGACTGCTCGCAAGGATGAGGAGATCCAAGGGTAAGCGGACCGCAACGAATGGAAGAACTACTTCTCTGCGATCAAAGCTGTCTACTGTCCGCCGATCAAAGGGACTGCTCCTCTCCTCAGCACCGACGGTAGTACCCTACTCACCGTGAAGACACAAATTCTACAGCGATGGGCCGAGCACTTCCGAGGCGTCCTCAACTGCCCCTCCACCCTCTCCGACGCCGCTATCGCCCGTTTGCCGCAAGCGGAGACCAACGTCGACCTCGACCTCCTGTCCTCTCCCCACGGAACAATCAGCGCCGTGCAGCAGCTCTCCAGCGGGAATGCGCCCGGATCGGACGCGATCCCTGCTGAGATCTAAAAGCACGGTGGTCCTCGACTTATGAATCATTTGTTGTGCTCTTCCAGGAGATGTAGCGTCAAGAAGATGTCCCGCAGGATTTCTAAGACGCCACACTCGTGCATCTATACAGGCGAAAATGAAGCCGCCAGCTCTGCGACAATCACCACGGCATTTCCTTGCTGAACATCGCTGGGAAAAGTTTCGCTCGCAGCCTTCTCAACCGGCTGAATAATCACCTGAAACAAGGCCATCTGCCAGAAAGCCAGTGCGGCTTCCGCCGTCATCGTGGAGCCACGGACATGATCTTTGCTGTCCGTCAACTTCAGGAGAAGTGCCAGGAGATGCGGACCCACCTGTACTCTACCTTCGTGGATCTGACGGAGACTTTCGACACGGTGAGTCGTGAAGGACTGTGGAAGATCGTGTAGAAATTCGGCTGTCTCGAGCGATTCACTCAGATGGTGCGTCAGCTCCACAATGCATGATGGCTCGCGTCACTGACAATGGAGCCGTCCCAGAGGCATTCACAGTAATCAAAGGAGTAAAGCAGGGATGCGTCCTGGCGCCCACCCTCTTCAGTCTTATGTTCTCTGTCATGCTGATAGACGCCTACCGTGACGAACGTCCCCAGCATCCGCATCGCGTACAGGATGGACGACCACTTCCTCAATCAACGGCGGATGCACTTCCGATTTCGCGTATCCACAACTACCGTTGACGAACTTCTCTTCGCCGACGATTGCGCCCTCAACCCCACCTCGGAAGAGGTTATGCAAAGGGGTATGTACCTCTTCTCCGCCGCCTGCGAGAACTTCGGTCTGGTCATTAGCAAAAGAAGATGGTGTTCATGTCCCAGCCGCTAACCAACACAGCCCCTCTCCCCAACGGGCCGCAAATCAGCGTGAACGGAACCCAAGTGCAAGTGGTGGACAACTTCCCGTACTTGTGCAGTACCCTCTCCCGCAGCACCAAAATCGATGACGAAGTCGCCTGCCGGATTTCGAAGGCCAGTCAAACCTTCGGTCGCCTTCAAAGCACAGTTTGGAATCGTCACGGTTTCCAGCTCAGCACGAAACTGAAGATTTACAAGGCCGTCATCTTCCTGACGCTAGTGTACGGGGCAGAGACTTGGAGGGTGTAAACTAAGCAGGCACGCCGACTCAACCACTTCCACCTCAGCTGTCTTCGTCGCATCCTGAGACTGAGTTGGCAGGATCGAACCCCCAACATAAATGTACTGGAGCGGACGGAAATTCTCAGCATCTACATTCGGCTGAGACCATTTCAGCTGCGTGGGAGCGGCCACCTCGTGCGCATGGCCAACGAGCGACTACCCAAGCGACTCTTCTATGGAGACGTCGCCACGGGGTCTCGCCTCCAAGGCGGTCAAATTCGCCGATATAAGGATAGTCTGAAGTCCTCCCTAAAACGTCTGCACATTAATCCGGCCAGTTGGAAAAACCTCGCCCGAGACCGACCGACATGGAGGAGGACAGTGAAGACAGGCGCTGTGATTTACGAAGCCAACCGCATGGCCGCCGGGAAAGCCAAATGCGAAGCGCGCATGTCTCAGCTGCGCCCCACCCCGAAATTCGAACGCACAACCGCCTCCAACGTGTCCCCGGTGTCAACGGACATTCCGGGCGCCGATTAGACTTGTTGTACACCTTTGGATCAACTGCACCACTTAGACCACCCCAACCATCGTCCCTCCGTCCACATCTTCCTCACTCTCCACGCCGTCAACTAGTTCTGACCGCCTTCCTTGACCACCACTTCCATCCTCCTCCCTCTCCTCCTCGTCCTTCCC